AGGCGACCAAGGCGGAGGGAGAAGAGGAACCCAGGGCGCAAAAAGCGGACGGGAAAAGAGCGGGGAGCGCCAAAGGGAGAGCAGCAACCGGGAGGCAGCACGGGCCCCGCGCGGGAGGCGAAGGGACAAGGGGAACGAAAGCGGGGGGAAGGCAGCGGGGCCGGCGGGGCAGGGACGGGCAGGGGAAGAGCCGCACAACACGGAAAGGAAGGCCAGGGGGGGGGGCAAGGAGGAAACCCACAGGGGGACGGAAGAACAAAGCAAGGGAGAGCCGGGCCCGGGCGGGGAAAGAGGCAGCGAAGGAGGGGCGAGACGAGGACCGGCGGGAGCAGCACCACAGGGAAGAACGGAAAGACAAGGGCCGGGAAAAAGAGGGCCCAGCGGCAAGGGCGGCCAACAGGAGGAAAGGAAAGCGGGGGAGAAGGCAAAACAAGGGAGAGGCAGGAGAGGAAGAGGGGGAGCGGGCAAGAAACGGGGGGCAAGCCGGCCCACACCAGCAAAGGAGGGAGCAAGGACGCAGTGCAAGACGGGGAGGAAGGACGGGGCCAGGGAGAGAAGCAGGAGGGAGGCCGCAAGCGGGGGGGCGGGAGGTGACAAGACACCGGACGCGGCAAGAACGCGAAGGGCAAACAGGGCGGCAAAGGCGCAACAGGGGGCCAAGAGACGGGGCCAACCGGCGAAGCAAGGGAAGGAGGGAAAGAGGGCGGCGCGGGAACAACAAAGGACGGGGGGAACGACGCGGGGGCGGCAAGGAGCAGGAGGCAAGAGGCAAACTGGAAAAGCAGGGGAAGGGGGCGGGAGGGGGCACCAAACGGAGGCCGGCCCAACGCGGCAAGAAGAACCGAGGAACAAGGCAACAGGGCGGGAGGGGGGCCGGGACAACCGCAAGGAAGGAGGAGCCAGGGGCGAAGAAAGAGAAGCCGGGAGGGAGGGAGCACCCGAACCGGAGCGAGGGGAACGCACAAGGGAACCAGGGGGGCAGAAGCGGGCGAACGGCAACAGGAGAGACAACAAGGGCCGGCCAGCCAACAACCAGCCCAAAGCGCGAGCGCAGGGGAGGAAGCGAGAAGAGAGGGGAAAGCGCGGGCGACGAACACGGGGCAGGGGCAACAAGAAACACAACGAGGCCAACAAGAGACAAGAGCGAGGAGGCAAGAAACAAAGGCGAGGAGGCAAAACGGAGAAAGGACAAAGGGGCCAACGAGCAACGACGGGAAGGCGGGGGGAAGCACAGAGCGCGGGCAAAGGACCCGCGCAAACGAGCGGGAAGCCGAAAGAGAAGGGAAGGGCAAGGACGGGGGGAAGGAGGGCGGGGAAAAGAAGGGGAGGGAAGACAAGGAAAGAAGGGCAGGAACAGGGCCAAGAAAGAGAAGGCCCAAGGGAACGCGGGCGGCGGGGCGGAGGAGGAACCAGGACCCCCGGGCCGCAAAGCGCGGGGGAACCAAGAAGAGGAAACGCAAAGAAGGAGGGAGAGGAGACAGGGCGGGAAGGGGAGGCGAAGAAACCAGGGGAGAGGCGAGGAAAAAGGACCGCGCGAGGCAAAGGGCGAAAAGAGGGAGGCACAGGGAAAAAGAAAACAAAAGAAAGGAGGGGAGGAAGGGAAAGGGCAAGAGAAGGGCGCGAGGGCGAGGCAAAGGCAAGCGCCGGAAAAGGGCAAAGACCCAGGGAGGGGGACGAGGCCAGGGCAGGAGAAGGGGGGGAAACGGGAAAAGGCGAGGGAGAGGAGGAGCGGCGAGGAAGGGAGGCCAGAGCGGGGAGGCGGCGGGAAAGCGGGGACCCCGGAAGAAAGCGAGGAGAGGAAGGCAAGGGGCGGAGGGAGCGACGACAGAGCCGAGGGGGGGGGGGAGGAGGGGGCGGGGGAAGGGAAGAACGGGGGGGCCGGCGGAGGGGAGGGCCGGGAGAGGGAAAAGAAGAAGCAAAGGGCGCAGAGGGGGGAGGAAGACCAGGGGGAAAAACCGCAAAAACGAAAAGGGAGAGGCAGAGGGGCAGGCGGACAAGGGAGGCGAAGGGGAAAGGGGGAACGGGAAGAGGAGGAGACCAGGAAAGCGCCGAGGGAGGAGAAGGGGCAAGGGGTGGGGAGGCCGGGAAACGGGTGGAAAGGGAAGGCAAGGGCGGCGAGGGAAAAGAAAGAAGAACCAAAGAAGAAAAGCAGCGGGAGGCCGAAGCGGCAGGAAGGGGCGGGGCGGGGAAGACGCAGAAGCAGCGAAGGACGCAAAAAGACGAGGGAAAGGGAAAGAAGAGCAGAAGGCGAGCCAACGACGAGAAACAAAGGCGCGCGGGCAACACGGCGGAGGGGCGAGAGGAGAGAAGGGGGGGCGACAAAGGAGGCGAAGAGGCAGGAGCAACGGAGGGGAAGGAGGACGGCGGAGGGAGAAGGGGCGCGGGGAGAAGAGGGCCGAAAGGAAAGGCAACCGCGGGGGCGGGGGGAGGGAGGGGGGCGGGGGGCCGAGGGCCGAGGGCGGCGAGGAAAGGAAAGCGAGAGCGCGGGGCGGAGAGGAGGGAGGAGGGAGGGGGAAGGAAACCGCGGGGGCGGGAGGGACCGACAACGAAGGGAAAACAGAAAGGAAAGAAGGGCACGACAAAGAGGCAAGGGCAGAGGAAGGACGGGAGGAAGCAAGGAGCAGGGGGAAGGCCGGGGGGGGAGCGGGACGAACCAAGGGCGCGAGGAGAAGGGGGGCGAGAGAGGAGGGGCAGGGCGGGAGGCGGGCAAGGAAAGGCGGGGGAGGGAAAGGCGCGGGAGGGAGCGGGAGGCGCGAGAGAGGCCAAACCCCCCGACCGGGAAGGGGAGCACAAAAGGGAAACGAGGGACGCCGCGGGGGAGCGAGCCGGACGCCCGCGACGACGGGGGGAAGGGGGAAGGGGGAGCCGACGACAGCGCACCAAAGGGGGGCGCCGGGGCCGGGGAGAGGGCGAGCGGAGGGGGGGGGGAGGGAAGGAGGAGGGGGGAGGGGGGAGGGGGGCAAGGGGGCCCAAAGAAAAGAAAAAAAAAGCGGGGCGGGCGGACGGGGACAGAAGGGCGGCAAGAGAGGGCGGGGGGGAGGCCGAGAACGCGAGCGGCGAAGCAAAGAACGCGGGCCGGACGAGCCGGAAAGGGAAAGAACGAGACGCAGGGGGAAGAAACAAGCGGGGAGGAAAGGGGAGGGAGGGAGCGGCGACGAGCACCGAGGCGACCAAGGCGGAGGGAGAAGAGGAACCCAGGGCGCAAAAGCGGACGGGAAAAGAGCGGGGAGCGCCAAAGGGAGAGCAGCAACCGGAGGCAGCACGGGCCCGCGCGGGAGGCGAAGGGACAAGGGGAACGAAAAGCGGGAGGAAGGCAGCGGGGCCGGCGGGCAGGGACGGGCAGGGGAAGAGCCGCACAAGCACGGAAAGGAAGGCCAGGGGGGGGGGCGAGGAGGAAACCCACAGGGGGGGACGGAAGAACAAAGCAAGGGAGAGCCGGCCCGGGGCGGGGAAAGAGGCAGCGAAGGAGGGGCGAGACGAGCGACCGGCGGGAGCAGCACCACAGGGAAGAACGGAAAGACAGCAGGCCGGGAAAAAGAGGGCCCAGCGGCAAGGGCGGCCAACAGGAGAAAGGAAAGCGGGGGGAGAAGGCAAAACAAGGGAGAGGCAGGGAGGAAGAGGGGAGCGGGGCAAGAAACGAGGGGCAAGCGGCCCACACCAGCAAAGAGGGAGCAAGGACGCAGGCAAGACGGGGAGGAAGGACGGGGCCAAGGGAGAGAAGCAGGAGGGAGGCCGCAAGCGGGGGGGCGGGAGGGGACAAGACACCGGACGCGGCAAGAACGCGAAGGGCAAACAGGGCGGCAAAGGCGCAACAGGGGGGCAAGAGACGGGGCCAACCGGCGAAGCAAGGGAAGGAGGGAAAGAGGGCGGCGCGGGAACAACAAAGGACGGGGGGAACGACGCGGGGGCGGCAAGGAGCAGGAGGCAAGAGGCAAACGGGAAAAGCAGGGGGAAGGGGCGCGGGAGGGGGCACCAAACGGAGGCCGGCCCAACGCGGCAAGAAGAACCGAGGAACAAGGCAACAGGGCGGGAGGGGGGCCGGGACAACCGCAAGGGAAGGAGGAGCCAGGGGCGAAGAAAGAGAAGCCGGGAGGGAGGGAGCACCCAAACCGGAGCGAGGGGAACGCACAAGGGAACCAGGGGGGCAGAAGCGGGCCAACGGGCAAGCAGGAGAGACAACCAAGGGCCGGCCAGACAACAACCAGCCAAAAGCGCGAGCGCAGGGAGGAAGCGAGAAGAGAGGGGGAAAGCGCGGGCGACGAACACGGGGCAGGGGCAACAAGAAACACAACGAGGCCAACAAGAGACAAGAGCGAGGAGGCAAGAAACAAAGGCGAGGAGGCAAAACGGAGAAAGGCAAGGGGGCCAACGAGCAACGACGGGAAGGCGGGGGGAAGCACAGAGGGCGGGCAAAGACCCGCGCAAACGAGCGGGAAGCCGAAAGAGAAGGGAAGGGCAAGGACGGGGGGAAGGAGGGCGCGGGAAAAGAAGGGGAGGAGACAAGGAAAGAAGGGCAGGGAACAGGGCCAAGAAAGAGAAGGCCCAAGGGAACCGGGCGGCGGGGCGGAGGAGGAACCAGGACCCCCAGGGCCGCAAGCGCGGGGAGAACCAAGAAGAGGAAACGCAAAGAAGGAGGGAGAGGAGACAGGGCGGGAAGGGGAGGCCGAAGAAACCAGGGGGAGAGGCGAGGAAAAAAGGACCGCGCGAGGCAAAGGGCGAAAAGAGGGAGGCACAGGGAAAAAGAAACAAAAGAAAGGAGGGAGGAAGGGAAAGGGCACAGAGAAGGGCGCGAGGGCGAGGCAAGGCAAGCGGCCGGAAAAGGGCAAAGACCCAGGGAGGGGGACGAGGCCGGGCAGGAGAAGGGGGGGAAACGGGAAAAGGCGAGGGGAGAGGGAGGAGCGGCGAGGAAGGGGAGGCCAGAGGCGGGGGAGGCGGCGGGAAAGCGGGGACCCCGGAGAAAGCGAGGAGAGGAAGGCAAGGGGCGGAGGGAGCGACGACA